CGGGGGGGGGGGATGTAGGCAGTGGGCGGGAAAGGCGGGACGGTGCATGCATACATACATACATACATTTATGGGTGTATAATGACGACCTGATCGTAAGACTGCAACCTGATTGCTACCATGGACATCGGCCGCACACGGCCGCAGTTGCCAAACTAATTGCCAACCTATTCATCTCAGAAATGGCAGGATAAAAATGGCGAACGGAATGGCTCAGAGGAAACGGCCGCGGACTACCGCGCCGAGGAGGACGCTTGGAAATGGCGGCGCGAGAAAACCGACAGAGCTTCCCAACGCTGGCAGGGCAAAAGCAGCTCCAAAGCGGATTAACGCCTTTAACGTAGTAACGCTGGACGGCCACAAATACAGCTCGGTGCTGGAGTTGGAAACCATTGACCTCGTCGTCCATTGGCCCGCGAGGTCCGACCGCAATGACTTAATGGCTTAGATACATGGACCATTAGGAACAGCTATTCGGTCGACGCTGGGGCAGCATTTCAGCTCTGCCGAGTTCAACTGGTGGGGCGGCCCACGCATTGAGAAGCGGCTTTTATACGCAGCTGGGGCTGAGAGCAACATCGCGATGGACTTTTCCATATTGGTGCCAAAAGGTGGATTGGCGTACTTGTTCGAGGCCTACGGTGAACGCATTCGCGTTAGTGGGGTGCAACTGTGCCCCAACGAGGACCCCATCGAGGTGGAGCTGCAGATCAAAAGCCTGCATAAAGTCTTGCCGGTACAGTGGGAGATTAAGGGACTACCCACCAAACTCTGTTTACGGCCTCAAGCAAGCCCCACGTTGCTGGTACGAGAAGCTGGCAGCGGAGCTGGGCAAGCTAGGCTATGAACCGTCTGCGTCCGACCCCGCGCTATTCGTCAAGCGGGGGTCCGATGGCTCAATCGATGTGCTCGTGCACGTTGATGACATGCTGGTGGCGGCGGACAACCCGCAGTTGGTTGCGGCCGCCAAGGCGGCCATAGCTGGTTGCTTCGCAGTACGAGACCTTGGAGAGGCGCGCTACTACCTCGGCATGGAGATCGTCCAGGACCGCCGCAACCGCAGCATCATGCTCACGCAGCAGTGTTACGTGGAGCAGCTGCTTCAGCGCCACAGCCTGGAGAACGCCAAGCCACGTGCCACCCCGCTACCCCAGGGTACACGGGTTCTGCCAGCCAGTGACACCCAGCCGATATTGACGGACAGCAGTGGCTACCGCGCGCTGGTGGGAGAACTAAACTACCTCGCTACCAGCACACGCCCAGACATCGCACACGCTCTGAGCATGCTGGCGCGGCACATGTCCGCCCCCACCAAAGCGCACATGGGGCTCGCTCTGGGTGTGCTGCGTTACGTCTCTGGCACTCGGGCGCTTGGTCTACGTTACTGTGGCGACGCCAGCAATTTCTGTGAACTCAGCGTCCACGGGGTCGCTGAGTTTGGTGGGTAGTCCCTTAATCTCCCACTGTACCGGCAAGACTTTATGCAGGTTTTTGATCTGCAGCTCCACCTCGATGGGGTCCTCGTTGGGGCACAGTTGCACCCCACTCACGCGAATGCGTTCACTGGAAGTGGCGTTGGATGGCGCGGAATCAGTTCCCTCCTTCCTACAGGCCATGGAAACATTTGCCCAGGCATCCGGCCAGCGACTCAATCTGGAGAAAGTGGAACTGCTATGGATTGGCCAGCAGCGACAGCAACAACAGCAGCCGGCGCCAGCAGCAGGACTCCAGCTAACAGACCCCCAGCAGGAGACAATCGGAGGTGGTAACCACTGCTACTGCCCTGAGCCTGCCGATAGACAACCAGGTGACCCCACCACAGCCGGACTGGACGAAGAGGATGGGAGAGGCCAAACAGCGGATGCAGCATCTGTCCCGCTTCCCGCTGTCAGCATTTGGAAGGGCGACGGCGGCGTCGGCGTATGGCTTGCAGACGGTCACCTGGCACATGGAGCATGGCGGACTGGCCCCAGACCGCATGCTGGACGAGATAGAGCGACTCACGGCTCGCCTGGTCGACCGCCAACAAGGCCCGGATGATCCTGGCCGACGCTTGACTGGCGTGCCCAAGGAACTCCTGATTGGTCACCCATCGACAGGAGGCTTTGGTCTGCTGCCCCTCCGGCAACACATCCAAGCCCGGCATGCGGTGTGGGCTGCTCGTTTTGTCATCGCAACCCTAGGGCTGCGAACAGGCAACACGAGAACAGATACAGGCGCAACACAGATATGCAGGTGGGCGGAGGTATCCACCCCTGGGTCCGCACGCTTTCAGCCTACCTTCTGCTCACGAACCCCGCTTTCCAGCCGTGGGCCCTGACAACCGCGAGCCCAACTGGGACCTGGCTTGGGACTCGTGACCTGCCGAAGGATATCAGCCGGATTGTGGGAGCCCTGGGGCACTTGCCGCCACCAGAGGACATCGGGACCAACCCGCTGACACCCGGTGACTGGTGCTGGGCGACTGCATTATGGGGAAATCCGCTATTCCCCAATGCTGAAGGGACCGACCCGACGGACCGAGGCCGCCGCCCCGGCCTGGAGTACCAATACCCAGGGCTTGCCACCTGTAGGAAACTACAGACGGTAGGGGACCTGGTGCGGGTTTGGACCCTGGCAGAGAGCAGCGACCTAGCAACCCTCCCTAGGACGGTATGGCTGGAGTGGGCCCGGACTCACCTCGACCCGCTTACCACGATCTCCACGCGGGATAAACCCGTGACCCGGGCAGCCCTCGCGGCGCTGCATAGCAGCATAAACCCGGCCTGGCTCGAAGCTGCTAGAACGGTTGAGACCCGGCGACAGCAGCAGCAGCAGTAGCAGCAGCAGCGGGGGCTAACAGAACCGATGGCAGCAGCAACGGAAGGGGAGGAGGCTGTCATACCGTCACCAGCACCACTGCTGACCAGTATGCAAGCGATGGGTATGATTGTTGGGCGAATTGGGTGGCGTATACCTGGGATGGCGGAAGCCATCCCGCTGGCACGCCTCACGGTTCGCCTGGCGACACAGCTGCAATGTGGGCTTATGGAGGAGAGGAGAAGACGCCTGGTGGCTGAATTTGTGCGGGAGGCGACGGATCCTCAGGGCCCGTCGCCGCCGCCCCCCTCGGAAATCAGCCTATTCAGGGCGACGCAGGCCCGCGTATGGTCCGGGGTACGATGGGAGAATGAGAATAAGAAGACGTTGTGGCGGCTCGCAGTGGATGGCGTTCCCCTACCGGGCAACATGCACCTAGCCCGTATGACTCCAGAACGCTGTGGATGTGGCGGATTCAGTGGAGCAGCTGGTCAGCCATGCTCGCCACTCATGCATCACTTTTGGGAATGCCCGGTGGCGCAGGCGGTGCGGGCATATATCGACCGGCATCTACAGTCTTCTCAGGAAGCGGCGGTAGGGGGAGTCACCCGAAAGCAACTCTGGCTATTACTGGCCCCAACCGGATGCGAACAGGCCGTATGGGATATAATCGCCCTGTCGGCCTTGTCTGCCATGGAGGTTGGCAGATGCTGCCTGAGGGCAGCGGGCAGGAGGCAGGAACGAGCTGGGAGCCAAGGACCACAGAACCGGGAGCACGTGCAGCAGGTGCAGGTACCCGGCCCCAGACAGAGGCGGATAACGGACTTTTTCATCCAGGCCGACGGGGCGGGACCGCAGACGGGGCCTGCACTGAATGCGCCGGGCGATGAGGACCAAACGCAGGAGCGGAACACGGCGACAGGGGCGGTAGCAGCAACGGCAGGCGCGGCGGCAGCAGCACCTGCAGCAACCCCTTGGAGCGGGCCTGCGCCCGGGCAGTGGTGGACTTCTGGGCGCGTCTGCGCTCCTTCACGGCGCTGGGCACCCCGCGGAGAGGCTGGGACAGGGTGGGACCCGACCACCCGATCCTGTCGGTTTCAGAAGGCGCACTGCGGTGCGCCGAAGCGGTGGAAATTATTGCCTAAGAGCGCTTTGAGCTTAGTTTGTAGGGCAGGGCTCGGGGGGGTATAGGAGTTCGAGGGGGATGGGGGTTGGAGGGCAAGGGAATAGGTGAGAGGGAACCCCGAGACGGGAGAGGGAGAGGAGAAGGACGGGGAATGGAGGCGGTCACGTCGTGCAGGGAAGAACCCTTTTTCTTCACTAGTGCCGCTCCGAGGTTGTAGGGTGCTGGAGAGCCGGGGGGAGGTGGGGTCGCTCGGACAGGGGAGGGGGGAGATGGCGGTGAGAGCGCCAAAAGGACGTGGGTTTTCTGGTGTGTGGGAGGTTGAGGTCTGGTGGGGCTCGGATGAGGGGGAGGTGTGGCCCGAGGAGGGCCATTCTATTTAGACACGTCTTCTCTGTGGGACTGGGTTGCTTGGTGAGAGACGAGGGTGAGAGCGGTGCAGTACGAGACATGGTGAATAGGTTTCTGGAGGACCAACCGTTCAGGTTAGTGGCGGTAAGGGGGAGGCGCCGCGCGGGCTACATTCCTCCCCCTGCGGTATTCTGGAGGGTCTAGGAGCTGTGTGTCGTGGCAACGCTATCGCTTTTGTGGTTTCGCCGGTCTATCCCGGGCTCCAGCAGTGGTGATCGGGCTTGTGCGTGGTCCCTTTTCTTTATAAGGCTACTTCTCCCCTGGACCAGCCCAGGAAGGGACAGGTGGTGGAGGTCAGTCCTTTTAAAGGTGGTTGCAAGACGTCGTGTGGTGTCGAGCTCTCTTAGCCTTTCTCTCTTGGAAGTTTTTTGTTGGCCTGTTAGGTATATCAGGAGCCCTCCCCTGCCGGGACTACCCTAACCGAATTTTTGTTTGTTTGTTTCTTCCCTTAGAATCCCGTTTTCGTGGGTGGTGTTTTGGGGGGTTGTTTCAGAGAGCCTTTGACTTTGCCCTAGCTGAGACTTGTGGACTCGCTCTAGCGGGACCTGAGAGCCCTTCGTGGTGTCTTCACTGCAGCGCCATCCCCGGATGGAGGGGCTGCGGAGTGGCTGCGTAGAGTGTTGGCAGTCTGAGTCGGGGTCGGGAGCACACAAGACTAACCGACTTGTGCTGTGTGCTCCCGACCCTTGCGCTGTGTTTCGGCTTCGGCCCCCGGCTCTCGCGGCCCACAGTGTAATCCAAGTCATACATACATACATACATACATACATACATACATGCATACATGTACTCTCACCCGCCGTCCCCCCCTCCCCCTCCCCCTTCCCCCTTCCCTCGCTGCCTACCGCGTCCGAGTCACGGCCCAAGGACGGGAACACCGCATCCGCGCCGCTGAAGTCCTCATCCTGCGTGTAGCTGGACTTGGTGATGATACAACTGAGGGGGGGATGGGGGGTGTGTGTGCGTGTGTGTGTGTGCGTGTATGTGTGTGTGTGAGAGAGAGAGGGAGGGAGGGAGGGGTGATGGTGATGATGTAAGGGAGGTTGCGAAAACGGGGAGGGGGAAAGTCATATGATGATGCAAGCAACAGAGAACCAACAACAACAACTGCCGTACGATGTACAAAGTACGGAAATGCCCCTGAAGACCACTCACGTCATTCCAGCCGCCTTGGCTGCTTGGAGCCCAATTCGCGAATCCTCCACCACCACACATCTGGGTGTGGGTGTGGGTTTGGGTCGGGGTTGGGGGGGGGGAAGAAGTGATTGGGGGGAGGTGAGGTGGGGTGGTGGGGTGGTGGGAGGAGAGAAGGACAAAGCGAAGGGCGAAGGTGGTGGTCATTGATTGACAAAACATCAATATAGCGGTTCTAAAACCGCGAGAACCCCCAAACTCTCTCTCTCTGTCTGTCTGTCTGTCTGTCTCTCTGTCTGTCTGTCTGTCTGTCTGTCTCTCTCTCTCTCTCTCTCTCTGTCTCTCCCACCACCTGCACACCTGGCAGGGTCAACTCGCAGCTCGCGAGCCGCCAGCAGATAGATGGCTGGGTCCGGTTTCTTCTTAGGTACGACATCGCCTGCGGTAGTTGTACGGCAACAGCCGTACTGCTTAGAGGTCCGAAAATTTCCCTGAATGCGCCGCTGCAAGCCACATCCCACTTTCATCTCCATTCACACACACCCTGAATCGCATTGGCGGGGCCCCGCCTCTCCCCCACCTCCCACACAACTTCCCACCTTCCAATCTCCAATCCCCAATCCCGCCCCTCCCCCAAACAATTTTCAGTGGAAGGAGGGAAATCAGGGGGTAGGGTCCGGGGGGAAGGAGAACGACGGTGAAACACCACAATAAACCCATACCGCATAAACCCATGAAAAATCAATAAACCACACAACCCTAAAATCACAACCTAGCGTGCGAATGTGGATTGGACAGGAGGGGGGGTAGTAGTGGCGGCGGGATTGCTGTATGTATGTATGTATGTATGTAGTGGGAAGCTCAAGTAACGTATCGAATCGAGCCGAACCAAGGACTTCCAGAAAAAAGTCGACCAGAAAAAAAGGAGGAGCTGAAGCAAACCAGTAGTGAAGCTCATATGATACGACAGTCGTACACATACCCAACGTGGCGGCAGCGGGGAAGCGCGAAAGAGGGTGTGAGAGGAGGGGAAATTCGGTCGCTAGTCGGCAATACCGTGCGCAGCGCTCTCCATGACCACGACCACGGCAAACACCGTAAACACGGTAAACACCGTAAACACGGTAAACACGGCAAAGACCGTAGCGCGGGGCAAGAATGACACCACCGGGGCAACCACCCACCCGCAAAAACCCGCATAACCGCCGCCACCTCGCTGCCCAGCATCACCCGTACGATTGTGGATACGGCTCTCTCGTTTGATGTACTGCATACGGCAACCGGCACACCGGCGGAAATGGCCTCGCCTGTGCATGTGTGCGGGGGGAGAAGGCGGAGGGTGAGAGGGAGTCGTGTGCGTGTGTTTGAATTTGGATGCGGGAGGAGAAGGGTGAGAGAGAACTTACGAGCTGGGTCCTGAATATAAGATGCCACGTAACGCATATGTAAGGGTTTTAGGCTCCTTACGTCTGTCTGTCTGTCTGTTTGCCTGCCTTCCCAGGACAGAGGCAACCAGACCTCGTTCACGTGTCGGCCGTGATGTTGGTGTTTTACGTCACGGACGGCAGCCGAAGGGGAAGGTGGGGGTCTCCCGACCCCCTTCTTTTCCCGTACCTACCCCACATAGGGCCCTCCCTCCCCCGCCTGCTTGTCAGGGGGTGCCGTTGACTCTCAACAGTTCCGGTCGGGGGCCGCTCGCCTTCGTGCCGGTTACCCCCCTTCTAAATCACCCTCCCCCCCCCTTCCCTCCCCTTTCCCCTCCCCTCCTCACCCCCCCCAACCGGGGTCCCCGCAATACCTCACTCACCAATCAGGCGGGCCACTCCAGGCCGCAGGGGCATGGATCCAGAATCCACAAGATCCATAAACAGATCCGTTTTCAGCAGGTGGAGATCCTGAACCAGGGCCTTACGTTGGGCTGGATCCTGGAGCAGAAGGCACGGGGTTTGGAAAGAGTGATGAAGGGGGATGATGGAGGTGGTTATGATGGTGGTTATGATGGTGGTTATGATGGTGGTTACGATGGTGGTTACGATGGTGGTTACGATGGTGGTTACGATGGATACCAGGAAAGGGAAACAGGAGGCGCAACATGGTCCTCAGGGGTATATCCAGAACAGCGGCGAGTCACAACTCCATTCACATACACACCACCATCAGTGTGAACCACCCAACGCAGCTCATGTACGGAAGATTGCTGTACAATGTTCGTATTCACCTTGATGCTCTTGAACGGTTCCTTGTCTAGGTGGTCCTGGGCGCATTGAAGTTGTGCTCACAGGGTGATGTAATTGTGATTGTGATTGTGACGTGATGATGTTGGTGAGGGTGAGGGTGAGGGACAAGGAGAGGAGAGGAGGGGCACAGACTCAGCGCGTGGGAGGGGGGGGAGGAGGAGCAGGATGGCGACAGGAAACACGAGGGACGGAGGTGTCGTGTGAGGAATGGGTTCTTTAACAATACACCAAAAGATCGGCTGTCGATGTCTTCCCCCTCTCCCCTTGCATTTGCATCAACCGGATGTCCGAGGGAGGAGGGGGAGGAGGGGAGGAGGGGAGGAGGGGAGGAGGGGAGGAGGGGAGGAGGGGAGGAGGGGAGGAGGGGAGGAGGGGAGGAGGGGAGGGCTCAGGGCTTTAGGGTTTTTCTGCGGTGTAAGCATGAGGGGAAAGGTGAGGGGCTGAGGGTGAATAAGCGATGAAGGGCCGAGCGAGTGGGGGTTATCTGAGTAACGAAACCTCATACGGTGGCGGCCGTTGGGGGCGACCGTTGGTAAGGGGGTGGTATTTTGGTAACAGGTCGTTCCACCCGTCGCCGCCCGTTACTACCCAAGCCATGCACCCCGCCAGCTGGTCAGTTTCTGTTTCTGGATTTAAATGGAAACACATAGACAAACAAACAAACAGACAAACAGCCCACCACACATTGAAGTACTTGGTCATGCGTTCTTTGCCGCCGCCGATCTCGAGCAACTCGCCGTACAGGTCTACGTCCCAGACGTGATCCAGACCTGTACGGCATTAATAACCCAAGGACCCGTGAAAGCCCCGCGGTGGGAGAGAAACGGGGCCGGGGGGGGGGGAAAGGGGTTTGTGGTTGGCTGCGCGGACGTTTGAGGTACTGGCGGAGTGGGCGTATGCCTGCATCGACACAACGCAGAGCAACTAGCTGCTGGACCGAGCTGGGACACAGCCTCAAATAAATGATCTCGATAATAAATTTGCGCCAGCGGATAGCTGCTTTGGCATGACATGCTTGCGAAAGAGGCATGGTGAGTAAGAATGTGCTGACCTGGAAGCCTTCGCGAACCTAGTCGCACCTTTTCGCTTGAACGCCTCATTGAAGCTGACGCGGTGTCCGTCTCGCTCCGTATCCACAAGGACGCCGTCACAGTCAAACAGAAGGGCCTCAGGCAGCTGTTGCTGCTGAGCCTTCGCCACAATACAACGCGCAGCCACGGGGCGTATACCCGGCATTGCGGCCTTAAAAGGCGCACTCCTCAACGCACTTGGTCGATGAAGTTGTGACAGCATGTTTGGATCAATTAACCACTACCAACGTGCAAGCCACGCGTGAATTATGCACCGCACTATCGAATGTGCTCTTCCCAGACACCGGGGAGATATATGATTTATATAAAATTAATATCGTTACAAACTTTGGTACGGAGCACAAGGCTTTATCTTGCCGTACATGAGTCGCTTTCCAGCTCTTTCCGGAATTTCGCATAACAACGTGACGAAAATGAGTAATGACAAACATTCTTGAGACTTCATATGGCTCAGTATTGCTTTGAGCCTTCACTTCCTTCACACTTTCATCCATGGCCTTACTTCGCCATCGCGCAGCAAGTATCGTGTATCGTGCGAATATCTGAGGGAAGAATACCTCAGCAAACCTGGGTTCGCCAAAACAGATTGGGCGGTACTTTTCAGTTGCTGATCGTGGACATATGCTTCCGTACAACTGAAATCGCAGGGCGCTTCTTGAAACTAACGCCATCAGGCAAATCGGTATTTTTGGCGTTATTCCTATCAGTCCCAAAACGTTTCGGATGTTTACCGGCGCCAAGGAAAGACTGCTTTCGGGACTTTTGTTTGCCACACCGGGACCTGCAACCGGAGCCTATAAAGTCATTTCCAGCTCCGTTGCGGCCCGCAGATCCTGCTCCTCCTTTCCGGCCTCTAAACGCGACTGGAGCACTGGACCGGCGCAGGTGTTGTAGCAGCTGTAGATAGAATGGCACACATCTCGTGTAATAACAACGCGCAACGGCGCTCTGCCAGCATCTACAGAGGCCTTTCCCGCGGCCAGCACTTGTTTCAGATGAGAATTAGGACCGATCAGCATCCATGCAGCACTTCGCCTCACCCGCAACAAGCCCCAGGACCTGCCCGGAAGAGTTGATGTTTGGCCCGATGGCCTGTTGTTGCTGGCAGTGAGGTGGCAATGCTGGAAGGGGTTGTAGCCTGGCTTTTTGAGGGCAGTAGTAACAAGTCTGAAACTAGGTGGGCTCTACCTACCACAAATCCTTTGGGAAACTTCAGTCCTTGTTCATTCATACTCGTGTTTTGTGACTGCGCCAGGCAGCGGGCACCGCAGCCCGGTGTCCGGTGTCCCTTTTTTAAGTACTTTCTTACGGCTTTTGCTTCTTCAATCCGAAGAGGACAGCAATCAGCATAGGCGCTCAGAACGACGCTCCAATCCATCAAAGGACCAGACATACATCGCAGCGGCTATCGAGTTTGCAAAAACCCCATCAGCTGGTCCCACAAGATAGGACCCAGCTTCTGTGCAGTCTCCATCATCATCAGCAGCATGGACGTCTCCACGCCAGTCCTGCCCGACAGCGTGGTGCCGCACAACTGGCCCTTCCTGTTCACCTGCAGACAAGGGGGGAATTACAGGACCTAAACCCCAAGGCCGTTTCGAGGCGATGTCCTGCGCGCAAGCATTCGGGACACCTAGACGCCCTTGCAACCCCATTTAAGGAACAAGCGGGCAGGCTGTGCGTTAGGGCACCACCCTGTGGTGGAGTTCCCGAAGCAACTCAGCAAACCAAGACTCAGCTAACCACCTCACAGCACAGAAAACCGTCTTCAGCAGCAGATCCCCCCCTTGACAGCGGCCTCCAAAGGATTCAGAAACGCTAAGAAGCCCACCCCCTCACACATATTATCGCACATGTTCCTCCCTCCTCCAGCTTATGGAACAAAACATTAGGGACAGCCCTCGGCTCTTAGGACCCCCCCTACCCCTCCGGGCTCCAAGTGTGTATAGACTCTTCCCCCGGGTAACACCTCGGGTTGGAGGGTGGTAACGCAACTCCAGGAGGCGGTGTAACACACACATGCGCACACAATCAAAACCTTAAAGCAAGACATCAATACAGCTTGTTTCGGATGATGATACGGACCACACCACCTTCACAGCGAACCCACGGCACTCACAGCAACGTGCAAAGCGCTGGTCGAGCAGCGCTCCTCCTGCGCTGTAAGGTCCATCACACATTGGGAGCCCACCTGCAAAACAACAACACAGTTGAACAGCAAAGTGACCCACGATTAGTTTTACTTGGGGTTTTACTTGGGGTTTTAGGGTTGTAACATTTTGCCCTTCTCTCCTGAACTCCCATTGACCCTCGTGGATATGGACACAGCCAGCCCCCCCCCCGAACCCGCATAGCAGCAACCCCCCCTGTAGCAGTTTAAATTGGAGGTCTCAGGCTGAGCGGGGCCATGAGTGGGTTTTTCCCACCTTCCAGAAACCCCAAACCTTACCCCTCCCCTTTACCCTTCCTACAGCGCCTCCGTACTACTCCACATCAGTTTCCCTCCCGCTCCCCAAACGTTCCTATGATCAGCAGCCTCGGTATCACCTCAATTGATGTACACACACATATATATACATATATATAATTTTAGTAAACTAAAATTAGGCATAAACAATACTGTATATCGTACATGCATACATGCATACACACGCACAGACCCACCCGCGAGGTCGTCACGACGAGTGGAAGTGCGGACACATCCAGGCGCCACGCGGCCCCCGGGCTGTCGTCCAGCTCAATCTCCTCCTCGCCCGCCGCGTCCCGCACCGCCTCCACCTGAAGTGAAGTGAAGTGACGCGGGGGGTGCGGGGGGAGCGGGGGGTGCGCCGCCGTGTCATGAGGGCCTACGGCAGTGCTCCCCTCCCTCTCCTGGACCCTCTCCTTTATCTTCCACCACCTTTATCTTCCACCAACTCTATCTCAGCACATAAACCGCAAACACATCTCCAACAACCCATTCATAAGAAGTCTAATGACAAATGTGGGCATCATTGCGGACTTTTCCCAAATGTATCGGGTTGTTTATATCTTACATATATGCTGAGGTGAGAGAAATGAAAGTCGGAGCATCGATTCCGGGCGGGTACGGACGGGATAAAATTCCTGTTCTACGGGCGAATGCACCCCCATGCCGATGGACAATGATGGACGACCCAGTTATAGTGAGAGACCTGCGAGCCGACGCAGAATGGTTAGATATCGCCACCATAATCGCCACCATATTTGTCAGCTTCCACGGGAGGTGCTGGCGGTGGTAGGTGCGGGCGCTGATCCCTAAGTCGCTGAAGTCGCGGCACTCATGGGTGATGAGAATGAGGTGATGAGGGCGTGTCCCGAAACATAGCAGGAAGGGCAAGCGGCAGTATGGCCTGCTGCCAGCAGGCTCGTGCTGGCCGCGGGCGTGACTATTACCTGCCCGCTCCTTCACACCAACGCACATGCATCTTTAGATGTTCATATCATCTTCTATTCCAACGCAAACGTTCTTTACACCCCTCAAACACCTGATAGAGCCACATACTGCAGCAGCAGCAGCAGCAGTAGCAGCAGCGCCACACCCCTCAAACAGCGGAAATAAAACAGCAGCAGTAGCCCCCCTCCTCAACAGCGCGTTTAAATCAGCAGCAGCAGCAGCACACCGCGGGGTTCCACCCACGGACCTTTGGTATTCTGGTGTGCTGCAGTGCCGCCAGAGTGGCCGCACTGACCGCCCCGAGCACATTGCCGTCGTCGTTCAGCACCAGAGCGTCCACGAACAGCACCCAGGCGGTCTTGCCAGGCAAGATGCACAGCTTGGACAGGTCCAGGCCAGGGCCGGGGGTGCCGGAAGAAGAAGAGGGAGGCGCACCTCCTGGCGGGGGGGAAGGGAGGAGTGGAAGTGGCCTTGGATTGTGGTGCATTTGAGGTGGATAAGGTGCGCACAAGGGTGGATAAAGGGGTTGCCACGTTGGTAAGGCCTTATGTGGCCGTATGTGCCCCTTCGCGGTAAAGTTGAACAGTAGAATATATTTACCCCTCCTCCTCCTCCTCCTCCTGAATTTACATAGACGAGGTGTAACACCGTGGTGATACATACATACATACATACATACATACATACATACATACATACATACACACAAAGAGGCTTTCTTTTTTTTATAGGGGAGTGACGTAAAATCCCGCTACCCTCCAGCCGCCGTTGTCGAGCGAGCTCACGGAGGTGCGGGGAAGCGGCAGTTGGAAGTGTGCCGTCATACGCTGTGTGATGTTTTGGTGAAGGGGGGTGAAGGGAGGGTTGCACGGACACCCCACCCCTACCCCCACCCCGGGTAGTTCTCCTTCTGGAGGGAAAGGGGCAGCTGCCCCTCCCCATGCCCCTGCACGGCTAGTAGTGGTAGTAGTATGCACCAGTACTCCGCGGTGACAGTTTACATACATACATACATACGTACGTACATACATACGAGGAGGCCCTCGTGGTTGTACCCCTCATGGATGCCGGGCCTCTCTCACCGACTCCTCCGCCGCCGCCGCCTCCTGCCCGACCGCTGGGCGCCAAGCTGGACTCAATGACGGCGGCGATTTGCTCGCCGTACGTTTCACCAAAGCGACCCTGTGCATACAGACACCCGGCAAGGCACCAGGGTGCGTGTACGGAATTGTTTGCCTCAGGCCGTGAGTGTTGTAAGATTTGGTTTCGGAGGTGCGCACCTTGTAGATGGGAGATGCACAGGGAGAAAACTCCACCGTGACCTGGAGTCGTCCCTGGTTAGGTGCCGAAGATGATGGCGATCCGACTTCCACCTGCAGTAGTTTTGCATGGGTTTCGTTTAGGCAAGATTGACCGCCACCAAGACGAGCTGATACAGAGGAAGCATTACGCCGTCAAGCTCCAGCTTACTTTAACGCCAACGATCACGTCCGTTGCGCCCATGCGCAAGCGTGCTGACCCGGCAGCCTGTGCGATGACACCAAGCTCTAGCTCCACGGGTCTCATGTCATGGCAGCTGCGCCCATCTAGCCGGACATCATTTTCTATGCTAATCTGACAAAATGCGGCCTCGCCAGTGCTTGCCATATCAGCTAAATTTAGGGAGCGGCGGCTATGTTCCTAAAGATTCAGAAAGTATCGCGATTGACGCGTTTAAGGATTGTAATTTATAGCCAATATCCTTGGCATCGACGCTATCACTAAGTCATAAGATATTACGGTCTCGCATTTAATTAAACTTCCGACTCGGCCCGCCTCCCTCCAACCCCGCCCATAACAACATCAAAAAAATTTGGCGTTACAAAAAAAGAAGACACACCGTTAGCAGGGCAAAGATGCAACGTATAATTTGCAGTTAAGGAGTTTGATGCCTCAACAGTTGGTTGGTACTACACAAATGCAGAGACTGAAACGCTGTCGAGCTTGCTACGATAACAGCTGAATATCCATAACGTTTTGCTAGGGTATGAATATCTCCACATAAGCGGTTTCCAATCCTAGGCAGCCCCAACTCCATCTGCGACCCGGCGGTTCGCAACGTTTTCGACAGCGCCAATACGTCAAGGGGGACTTTCCTGCAAGGCAGCATGTCGCAATACATAGGACCACATGTACACGGAAAAAATAATGAGTCTTGGGCCCCACCCCAACGAGGCCCCGCAGCAACTCTTCCTCCCTGGCTGCCGACAGTCTTCAGCGTCGGCGTCTACTTGGGCCTGGGCCCTAAGCCCGCAGTCTTCGTCGCTCTTTCCATGGTCCTTTTCACATACGTCGGCGGCCTTCTGTCGCTGCCACTCCCGGCAAGTCAGGCAAAGGCTAATTTCGAACGTCCATCGATCCTGTTTGGCAATAAGTTTAAAAAGCGCATACAAACATAAAAAGCTACACAAGCTACTTGGCCCATCTTTGTATCCCATCACTCCATTTCCTGCATCTTGCATTCTCTGTTACCGCATCCCATGTTCGCATGTTCACATCGCCCAACTGGCCCCAGAAACGTTAATGGCTTTTTCCCGTCGTACCGTCCGCCGTACCGCCCGACCAGTCCGGTCTCACAGTCCCACACTTCACAAGGAATCCCGACTGCTGCCGCTCGCTTGCCGTACTGCTTCCCGTACTGCTTCCTTCGTACGACCTGCCCTCAGTTACAAGTGGCTCTGTCGTGCATTCCAGCAGCCGCCGCAGCCGCCTACCGGAGCCTCCTCCGGCGGCGAAGCAGGATGCTGCTCACGCCCGGAAGTAGAGCTCTACGACCCGTGGGTCAGCCCAATCGGCCCTCAACCAGGTGGGTATATTTATTAGGTCTTGAAGTCGTTTGCAACATTCATCTCCACGCCCTCCTGCCCCCATGCCCGCGGCCTCCCGGCCTCCGAAACCGTTATCGCCTACCCCCCTCTGCCCCCCTAATAGCATCATTGATAGCATCCATCACCCAACTCCTTCACACCCAACTCATTCACCAAATGCCTGTCGTCAGTCGCCCCCTGCCCCCTTCTTCCCGCGGCGCTCTGCAGCCATCATCATCATCATCAGCAGCAGCAGCCGCTGATAGAAAACAGCCGTCTCATCTCCCGACCCGCGGGCACCAGCCAGCCGGCTACAGCCGCTACAGCTACTGCGGCTGATGCCCCCACAGCCCACAGCCCTGGTGGGCCCCAGACAAGCAGGCGGGCGGCGTCCGGGGCGCTGTCGGGCGGCGGCTTAACTTCCCGCACCGCCGCCGCCGCCGCCGCCGCAATAACAACAGCAACGGCCGCCGCTGAGCCCGCAGGCCCCCTTTCCGAAAACAATACCGCGGCGTTGGCGGCGGCAAGTTCCATGTCTTGTTGTGCAACCCGTGACCCACGGGTCATGGCCCAGATGGGTCAAGGGCGAGGAGGGGTACGGCGGGAGATACGTCATGACGCGGCGGCAACTGAGGCCACAGCGGGGGGTGAGGTCCGATCCCACACGAACACCGTTTCACAGGCAGTCGCACCAGCAGCAGCAACCGGCGCTGCGACGGCGGCGGCGGCGGCGGCGGCGGCGGCGGCGGCGGCGGCGGCGGCAGCCCCTTCCCCGCCGCAGTCGCGCGTTAGCGCCCCAGTCTCACTGACCCATGGGGCACTGCGGGCCAGTGTGGCAGCGGACGGCGGCGAGGACGTCAAGGTGACATCCAGGAGACGTACGGCAGCCTGGGCCACTGCCGTGACAGACGCGGCGGAAGCAGAGGCGGCGACGATGGCGGCGGCAGCCTCCGCTGCTGCAGCTGCTGGGCCTAGCAGCAGCAAACCCAACCGGCAAAGAAACGCCGTGGTTGTGGGCAGCGGCGGCGGGGGAACATGGGGAGACACGGACATGAGGGTTGTCGCCGCCGCCGTCGCCGCCGCCGACTGTGGCGGTGGCGGTGGGCGAGCCGTGGAGGACGAGGACGAGGAGGAGGAGGGCGGAGCAGCGGCTGCTGCTGTCGCCGCCGCAGCCGCAGCCGCAGCCGCCTTCAGCGGCAGGCAGGGCGCCTGGGCTGAGCTGCCGCTGACGGCATTCTCCGAAGTTGTACGACTGGTGGGGGATTCGGAGCGGCGGTAAGCAGCTAAAACTAAAAATGGCCGAGAGAGCCGCGGGCCGCGGGAGGGGTGGGGCCCGCTTCCCGATCAACTCACACCAGGGGAGCCATGCGAGTCCTGTCCTAATGCAATCAATACAAAGCAACCTTGTGATCAATATATTGTCGTCAGTTTTTTCGTCAATTTAGCTACTCGTTATCGCATCCCCTCCTGTCGTACACCCCCCCACCCCGGGGAGGAGCATCCGCCTCGTGTGTCGAGAGTGGCTGTCGGCTTCCGGGGTTTGTACGACTTTCCTGAGACCCCCCCGGGCCGGATCGCGCCACTTGGACGTCCTGGCCGCCAACTTCCCCCTCACGACCTCCCTGGACTTGTCAGCTGCCCTGCACGTGAGTGGGAGGTTGGGCGCCGTTTGGTGGTTGGTGGTTGGCGGTTGGCGGTTGGCGGTTGGCGGTTGGCCGAAGATGGAAAAGGTGGATAGGGGCACCAGGATGGCCAGGTGGAGCCCGTGGGGGGTTGGAGAGAAAGAGGAGAGGGTTTTGGTTGGATCCGGATCCGGATCTCAGTTCTGGAAGGCCGCGCCATCGTCATCGTCGTCGTCGTCGTCCGCCTCCTTCTCCTCTTCCTCCTCATCCTGGCCGGTTGCTTGGCTAGCTGCGTATGTGGTCGTTTCTTGCGTTGTATGCCTCATCCCATTCCCCGCGCCATCATCAGCAGCATCGGCATCATGCTGCTGCTGCTGCTGCTGCTGCTGCTGCTGCTCCCTTGTCCCGCGTCTGAACGGATACGTCCGCGAAACACACACGCCGGTGCCTGGTTTCCCCTCCCCTTCCCCCCGCGAGCAGCACATCACCCCCAGCCGCATCCGGCCAGTGGCCACCATGCGCCACCTCTCAGCCCTCATCCTGGGCTGTCCCGCAATTGGATCCAGTCCAGGCTCCGGAACCGGATTCTGTGGCAAGCCGGGATGCCGTACACAGATCTCCGTCGCCAGCGGTGCCGCCGCCGCCGGCGGCGGCGCTGCCGCTGCCATAACGGACAGTTGCGTCCGCGAGCTGGCATCCTTGCTGCCACGAAGCGCTGGAGCTGCCGCCGCCGCCGCCGCCGCCGCCGCAGGCAGCTTTCTGCCGCCGCCGCCGCCGCCGCCGTCCTCGTCCCCCTTCTCCCACCCTTACGCTAGAGGCGGAGCGCTACTCGACGGCCCCTCCCTGGGGCTCAGCAGCTTGCGAGAGCTGAGCTTAGCTCAGTGTGTCCACGTCAGCGATGCAGGTAGTCTGGGAGTGTGTGTGTGTATGTTTGTATGTATGTG